AGGCTTCGGCTAAAGACGGGTGAGTTGGGTCGGGGAAATTTGTACTTTGCATGTATTCTCGTGCGTGTGATGGTTCTCTATGATTTAATAAATAAACGAAACACCAACCTGATTGTGGGATTAAAAAAAAAAATATATATATATATATAATATATTTTATTTTTGAATATTATTAATATTGCAAAATTTTAGATAATTAATGAATAAATAATGTGTGCTACTTTTGTTCAAGTAGTGTATGTTGGATATTTCTGTTGTTTTAAATAACATCAATGTTTTATTTTGTATCTCATCTGATTTCCCTTGTAACAATACAATATGATGATTTTATTTTCAATATAATATATGATATTATTTTTTTATAAAAAAAACACTAATAAATACAATGCATTAGTTTGAAGCAAACCAGAAACCATAGTGATTTCCAAAAACTAGATGATATGATTTATTGAATTAAATATAAAATTTTTTTTCTTTAAAATATCAATTTTTTATAACCAAAAATTATAAGACCTATACATCTTTGTTGATATAGGACTTAAATAATGTCGAATTTATCGTTTGTTTTTATTATTTTAGAAAAAAAGGTAAAGGGTAAGAAGTTGGAGCCGAAAAATAGATGCGGCTAATATTTATAGAATTAGCATTGGTAAAAAGAATTTTTTATTAATTGAAGATTTAATAAGAGAAATTAAAAATTACTGTATTACTTTATCTGTTATCACAAACCATGCATTCGTAACATACGGATGGATTCACATAATTAAAACCTTCGGAGAAAAGAATGGTATAATGGATCCCTACATTTTGCGATACGTGTGGATACCGTAACAAGTAATAAATAAATAAAATAAATGGAACTACGATAAATAAATATGCACAAAACCCGAACCTTTCCAAAAATGGATTTGGCATCTCCGATGGACATAGCCACAGCCCGTTTCATAATAGAAGCACTTTCCCGAGCAGGCGTACAGAAATAAATATTGTTCTGTTCGCATTGGTTTATGCATATAATACATAAATTTACTGAATATCTTCTTAATTCAAACAGTTTAAATATCGAATATCGGTCGCCTATACTGTCAAAAAAACCAGCAGCTTCAAAATCGCATCGGTAGAGAGCAGAATAAGAATTGGAGTGGGAATTTAAGTTTAGTATAAATATCATCCCTGTTTTCGCGTACATATTAATCGTACGTGACTTTAATACAGCATAAAAACACTTGTACTGATTTGTACAGTCCCTTGAAGTTATCGGATTAATAAATTATTAAAAATCGGGTAGATTACACACATCGATGTTTGTTACACCAAATCTCTTCATCTGTGAATTAATCTAGTGACTAAGCATAGCGTTAGATTGATTACACATACAAAGAATAAATGACACAAGTGTTGAATTCCACGAAGTTCGTGATCCAACAATTTATAAAAAGCTCATGCACCCAATAGTGTCACTCGGACATGGGAAATACTCTTTGCAAGAAGAAATTGAAGAGAAAAAATAGTATGAATACTACATCCGAAAATTTCGATTCCGAATTTCAATATATCGAAGGAAGAAGATATCACAATGACGTGAATTCAAAATATTTTATCCCAAACGATGACGAGGCTTTGGATAGATTGCACCTACAACACTTTATGCTCAGGTATATTTGGCAGAGCAATTTCTTTGCTCCTGTTAATGATATTCTAAGTCGCGAAGGCACCAAGATCTTAGATGTTGGGTAAGTCAGCGTTACAATATTTTGTGATTTGTTAGAATGCCAATTTAATTTCCTTACGTTAATGAAAGTTGCGGAGCGGGTTCCTGGATGTTCGAAATGGCAACTGATTATCCAATGACAGAAATTATAGGAGTAGATATCTCCGCCATTCAACCTTCTAGCATCAAACCTCATAACGTATCATTCGTTTGCGCGAATATTTTAGATGGACTGCCTTTCGAAGATAACACCTTTGATTTTGTGTTCCAACGTTTAATGTTTGCCGCAATTCCGTATGATAAGTGGACTGATGCTATTACCGAACTAATTAGAGTTTTGAAGCCTGGTGGTTACATCGAGGTATTTGTTTGAATGCACATTTTTATCAAAGTTTTTGCGTACCAACGCTTTACTAATCACTGTTTTGCTGGTTCAAAGTTCTCGGAAATTGGACCAACTTATAAAATGGGTCCTGTCACATCTCAATTAGTTGACGCCGGTAAGCCAATCTGAACATTTGTTGACTTTTTCATGACTTTTTTTTTTTAAAAAAATAATCGTTATTATCTTTATTACTTTCATTATCTTACATTTACATATGCATACATATGTATAGTCAATATTTTGCTTAAAGCACGAAACCTTGATCAAAAAGTCGTTTACGAGATGCGATCACTTTTTGATAAAAATGATCAACTTGAAGATGTCAAGGAAGAGGAAAATATAATGCCGTACAGTTCCGAAGCCGGGAGACTAGGTCAAGCGGTAATAAATCGTTAATATTTCCAAAGTTGTGAGACCGCGTTAGTTCGACACTATTTACAGATAATTCTGATAATTTACAGGCTATTACCAACACCATAACTGGGTTGGATTCTGTAAAAACTTTCCTTTTGCCAATTTTGAATGTGGATTCCGAAGATTTTGATAAGATGTTAGATACGATGAGCAAGGAATTAAAAGAATTTCATAGCTATAATCATCTATGTCGTGTTCACGGCCGTAAAAAGAGTGAATTAAATGCAACCAAGTTATATTAGAAATTATTCAATGCTTAATATAGTATACTAAAAAAAAACAATATTTGTAATATGGTATATATGAATTATGGTAAACAATCCAAAACAAACTACAGTATATGATAAGTCACATTAATACATGTATAAACGCATTGTAATTGTAGCATTTTAAATGTCACGTCTTATTTTCGAAAGTGAGGTCAGAGGCTTAGAAGGTTGAACAAAATGAGAGTATAAGCGCTTAGGTGATCATCTTTCAGTGGCTGACCTGGCAAAAGATTAAAAATCTAGTTCTAAAACATGAAAGTAGAATATTATTCAAGAATAACCTTGTAGTTTAATCGGAAGGAGAGCTATTTATTATTCGTCTATATTATGCGTACTATAATTGCTGGCCAGCATTAGCCATCGCAAGTCTTTTTTGACCCATTCTAGCCATCCATCTGGAATAAACAATTGTGAACAGCACCAAAAGAGCAATCCAACTATACGTCGCGATACTCGCAATGTAAACGGCTTGATCAATCGTTGGCGCTCGGAATATGATGATGACACGAAACACAACTTCGATGAGCAACCCAAATCCCCAGACAGCTGTCATGACGATGAATCCTTGTCGAAATTTTGGGTATGAGTCCCAATACCTTTCCCAACGTGCTTCGATAGATTCATCTTCTGTTATTGGTTGAAGATGACCACCGCCCGAGCCGAAGGTTCCACCTGTTGCCATATCTTTGGAAAAATAAAACACCATTGGTCGCATTCGAAAAGAACCAACCTTAATTGGAATCAAGGTAATAAGAAATACAAAGCCAATAACTCCCGTAATAAAAGATTCGCGTAACAAATATAGTCGCGGATCTCCTTGAACACCTGCCACAATAGCTCCGACAATAAAACTGAATACGATGAGCACTCCTAAAACATCAACACGCCTATGCCGAATGAGTCCCACGATCACTACAATTAGCGGCGGGACACCTGATATAACTAGCGCCCAGATTACTGGGAGATATTTTTCGAGGATGAAGTATAGAATTATAGGCAAGATGACTTCGACGAATATCATGGATCCAACCGCTATAAATGTTTTTATTCGGCTTGGTCCAGAATCAGCTCTTTGGTTTTCGGCCATTTTTTTTTAAGTTAAAAAATTGTATATTATTACTATTTATCAACTCCCATATATTAACAAAGATTTTACTCTGCAGATATGAAATCTACTTGAATTGTTCGCTTGTCAAGGGGAAAGTCTTCTATTTATAGTGCATTTTTCTTTGTGGCTACTGCTCGATCGCGACGATAACCTTGATCGAACCGGTTAAAGTTGTACGATAAATTAAGAGTTTACCATACTTGTTTAATAATTTACTATAAAAGCATAATGCATAATTAATTGCCTTCAAAAGTATATCTGATTTTGTTGAATGCGAATATATTTTGCCATAATCATTCGATTATATTTAATTAAAATCGGATATACTGTAATTTAATTAATTTCTAATTATTCTAAAAAAATAATGGCAATCAATTTATCTTTAAGGATTTAAATAATTGATTGATTGGATTAAAAATGCATATGTTTGTACAAGTAATTATTGAAAAGAAAATTTATTTTTCTTTAAACCTAAACGATTGATTTTATTAGAAGATCTATAATATATTTTTATTTATCATATAATTTTACTTGAAATTTCAAAAAAAAGGGATTTACGTAATTATCATTTTTAAAATATTTATATATAAATAGCTTTGGCAATATTGTTACATATCTTTACTTTATTATTTAATTCTTTATTATTTAATTCTTTTTTATTTACTTAATTATTCTTATTCAAATATTAATAATTAGCTAATCAATATAATGTTAACGATTAATATATATATATGAATATATCTAGTATATATTTACAAAAACAAATTTTAATAAAATTTTCAATTTATCATTTGAATTATTATTATAAAAATTAAACAGTTGCTTAAAATATTAAACCAGTTTTATGAATAGCAATTAATAAAGTTTATTAAAAAAATCAAAAATTTACTTATTGTTTATATTGTATAAATATCTATTAAATAGTTTAATAAAAATATCAAATGTTTTGATTTAAGTAATTTAAATAGAATTTGATAATAAAAAATTTAAATTAAAATAAATTTCATTAAAAAATTAAATTAGATTTTGCTTAATTTAAATTGTTTAAAAATATAACAAATTGTTAATTATAAATAAAATAAAAATTTTTAATAATATTAATTAAATTACAAATAATTTCTAAAAAACAATATATAAACAAGTATATATAAAAAATAACAAATAAAAATTCAAGAAATTATAAATATGAAGAGATATAAAAATCTGCAAAAAATATAATAATTTCAAATATTTGTTAGATCTTTTTTACAAATAAACAAAAAAAAAAGAAATTCAAAACTTGTAAATAAAAAAATATTTCTTGTAGTTAAGATAGGTTCTTAAATTAAAGATAAAAATGTAATTAAAATATTCTTTACTCTTGGAAAAAAATTTTTTTAAATATAGACTTAAAAAAACTACTTAAAATGTTTTTGGAAATTTAGGTTATTTAATTTAGGTTATTTAATATAAGTATTTTTTGAATAAGTAAAAGATTATATAAAATTCATATACTAAATAATTTTTGGATCCATTTTTAATTATAATCATGCAAAAAGATTTGAAAGTTGAAAATAATTTATTTAACAAGTTCAAGAAAATAACATGTGAAAGTTAAAAGGTAAAAGATAATTGATTATACAGCATAAAAGTAATTGATTTTAATTTTTTTACAAATAAAATGTAACTTTATTCATTATCAAGATCATATTTACAGAAAAAAAAGGTAATGGTAATAGTAGTGGTAAAATCCTTGTTAGTGTATTCATTTTAATTAAAAAGTCATTAATATATCAAAACTTCACCTCACTCCTACAACTATATTGAGATAGTGATTACGACTTAAGATTTTTATTAAGTAAAAGGCAGGCTCTACATATGATGAACAAAAATTATTTAATTTACTTTAACAGATAAGATGTTTTTCTCTTTCACTACTATAGAATTATTTGGTCACTTTGATTACATATTATTTTCTGTTTGCTTAATTATCACAAGTATTAAAGGCTCAACCGAATTTATATATTGTCAAATCCATCAATTAATTCTCGAAGCTTTGATTTCTGTAATAATTTTCTGCATTGGTTCGTCACGATAATGAGCTCAGATAACTGGAGAGAGTCAAGTGTAGGAGTTATAACAAGCATAATAAAAATTAGTGATTGGATAGTATCATCTTCTTAAGTTGAGTCAAATCGAATTAATCTGGACTTTAAAACTCCTACCTTTACGTGAAAATTTTCCTCTTCGTAATATGATTGCACTGAGCGCGATCTCGATAATGAATCAACCGTAAATGTGTACATGCAATAACCAATGTCTATTCTTTATTCTATTTTAAAGCCCGTTATGTACTCGTTCTGCGACGCATTATGTGTGAAATTCAGCTCTAAAGTGATAAGTCAATAATATGGATCACATGATTCCTGCGAGCTTCTAGCACCCATTTTAGTGACAATTCGTGAAAGATTTTAAATAAAAATCACATCTCCTTTAGCTTGCTAGAAATATCAATGAAAAAAAAGCCCGGTTTGAAAGAGACATCGGGAAAGAGTGCACTAGATGATTTTCCCACTCCTAGCTTTACCACTAATAAAGGATTCATCTCAAAACAGATAAATACAGAATTCTCACATCATGCAGGATATTTGAACTTTTCACGACATAACGACGGACCAATGGGAAGCGAAAATCGCTTACCGTAGCATATAGTCACGACTCCTTTAATGGCACCCGAAAAAAAAGGGACTCTAAGCGTAAACAAGTCTGCACTAAATCACGACAAAGTGTTACACGCATAATTAAAGGTTATATTATTCATGAATAAAGGAATATTGTTTTTCGCAAATTACACTTTGTTAAATACAAAGCATTTTAAAAATCGCTTTTGCTTTTCCGATTAAATTGGAATAACATTAGATCCGTTAAACCCATAACTTTCCGTGCACAATAACAAAGCGGCACCAACCAACAAAATCCTATATTAGTTATATTTCATTCATTTCAAGCAGATGCAGGTACCTTTCATTATATAATGAGATAAAATTATAAAAGGAGAAATGTTTTTACGGAATTTGGAAATTTTTTCTTGCGATGATTAATACGTAAACGTCAAAATTGCCAAGAAATATCACGTGTTTGCCAAGAAATATTATGCGCTAAAAAAGGGGTCTTTTTTGGATTATTTAGAAATGTTGAATAAGTTGACCGCAATACCGTAACAAAGAAATTTGGTCCTAAATATTTTACTTAGAAAAAGATTGATTCGAATGTTGTGCCGTCATTATTTATTATTCAATTTTTTCAGGTTGCGATAATAAATGGATTTCACATATACTATATACATGTACAGTATGTGTAATTAATTACCTTTGAAAGCGACAAAAATGCTGAATATGATTTTGTATATATACTGTAGGTGCAAAATTAAAGTTGTAAGATTCTGTGCTTCCTAATTAAGCCTACGTTTAATATATCATAAGTTAATTAGGATTTGGAAATCAAAGATGAGTTCTTCTCCTACTCAAGCTCCGGGTCCAGGTCAAAATCCATTGTACAAGTCTGCTCCAGACCTAGCACCTTCTATCGTATTCCTTGTTCTATTTGCCCTTGTATCTGTCGTCTTTGCGTACCGCAGCATCGTAACCCGTCGTCAACCATACTACTATCTCCTTGCATTTACACTCCTTCGTACAGCATCATACATTGCTCGAGCAATTTGGTCACAAGATAAGGGATCAATTGCTGATGCTATAGCTAGTGGTGTCATCTCCTCAGGTGGTTTCTTCTTAGCTGCACAATCATTATTTGTTCTTTTTACTTTATGGATTGAATCCCTGTATGGCGGTCCCGATAACGTCCCAACCCTTGAACGGAAATGTTTAAAAATCGTCAAATTACTACTTCCTCTCTCCTCAATTATCGGTATAGTAGGATCCGTAAAACAATTCAATGCGTCATCACCAAGTGATTATGATGTTGGCACAGCTCTTAGGAAGGCGTCTATACTGGGATTTACAATCATTTTAGCATCACTTATAGCTTTAACAATAATGTTCGCGGTTAAAATGAAAGGTAAAGGACATGATAAAATACCAGTCGTGTTGATCATATGTACAGGAAGTTTGTTATTGTTGATAGAGATGATTTATCGATTGGATTCCATTTGGAGCAACCCCGGAGACGGCGTTAACACAAATAAATGGGTATTCTATGTATTTATGTCTGTTCCTGAGTTTCTATTTTCAGTATTCATGGGAGTATTAAATCTAGTGAAAATCTTCTATGGGGTTAACGATAATGAAAAAGGTGGAAATATATAGAGCCTCGTTATAACCTCCGATCATGTGACACTGTGTTAACAAAAAGTACGGGAGTTTAAAATAAATAAATTTATTCGTTTAAAAACTTGTTATATTAATTAATATAATTCTTCGAACTTTAAAGCCAAGCCATTAACTAGGCTCGATTTTATACACGTGGCATTTCTGCTTGTATTCAGTAATTTATCGCATCTTGAAGTCACTGATCGATCCTAACTCCATCAGTTCTTTAAGATAATAATATTTTCACATGTTTTGCTATAGGGAAGGCACCTTATGTTTATAAAAGAACATACATTTACATTTCTTCCACAATAAGAGTGAATTTGCTAATTCAATTGTTTTCGTGTGATAAATCGAATAAGACCTTTTAAAAAATCGATGACCAAACTGCAATCATCTTTACGAAATGTTTCGGATTTAATTGATAAATATAAGATGAGATGCTATTAGTAGAATTCATGTAGTGCTTTGAAGAACCTAGTCAAATGAAGCTTTAGAACAAAAAATTTTGGTTTTAACAGATTAATTTCTTCCTTTAAATTAATAGTCGATTTATTTGATATTTCGTATTAATTAAACTTATCACATACAGTATATATAAGTTTATACAGTATATAAATAATTATAATTATTTGTTAGAAATAGATTAATTTTAATTTACATATATAACTTTATAAAGGTGTTTAATGTATATTTTTTTATAATAAGAGATAATAATAATAAATATTAAATAAATATTATGTTATTGTTTTTATATTAATAGGCATTATTTTATTTAAAAGAATAATAGAAACAAAAATGGATAATACTGTAAGATATTGAATTAAACCTGTTTAATATAATAGATTAAAGTTTCTAAAAATCAAATACAATGATTATATAATTTTTTATTAGAGTAATTAAGTATATTTAATATCAACAAAGATATAAATTTTGATTAAAAAAATTTAATATTAAAAGTAAAATGAATTAAAAATACATTTAACATAAATAAATTTTTTTAAAAAAATAAATAAAATTATTAAAATACAATATATTAGTAGTATAAAAAGTTAATAATAATGAAATATTTCAATTTTAATACTATATAAATAATATCAAACAAGCAATTATATAGAAATAAAATATAACACTATATTATCCCTTGAATTCTATTTATATAATAATAATAATAATCAGTCTTTTTTAAATATATACAGTCCCCCCAATAAATGAAGGACCACTTAAGAATTATTATAATTAAACAAAAATAGTTGTCATATATTAAACTTTTTATTTTATTAATAAAAACAACTTTT